TTAGAAGCATGGATAGTGTTAGGAGAGGTCAAAAAACTCACGACAGGTTGTGGGGATTGTGTCAATAGGGGTTCCTATAAGTATGGCAGAGCGAGGGAGGAAGAGGAACATATGATTGATATCTCCCTTCTCCCAGCAATGTTCCAGTGCCACAGGCTCAAGCTTCCTGCTAAATTTTCAGTGCAGGAGATTTCAGATGGTCTGTCTGGATGATCTCACCATGGGAGGGGAGGGAAACCAGAGCTCTTGTCAGCGTTTTTATACACTGCTAGTGTTAAGGCAAGAAAGAAAAAGGAACAACTGACCAGCAACTGACAAGGATGCTTTCGGCTGTAGAATTATAAAAGGGAGTGTTACTGAGCTATTTGGAGCAATCGAATCATGGAAGAAGTACTCCACGAACACATCAGAAGGTGCTCAAATCACTAGTCAGGGATGCGCAAATTAAAACCACAAATACGTCCATTAGAATGGCTAAAATTAAAGACTGGGGCTGACCATGCTAAGTGTTGGTGAGGCTGTGGAACAACTAACTGGTGGGAATGCAAAACCGTACAACCATCTGCAAAGCGATAGGGCAGTTTCTTGTAAAGCTAATACACACTTAGACCAAATAACACAACAATTCCACATCTAGGTGTTTATTTTCCCTTTCTATGTCCTCAGAAAGACATATACATAAATGTTCACATCAGCTTAATTCGTAATAACCCCAAACTGTAAACAACCCAAACCAGGTGGATTGATAAACGATCTATGATATATTCGATCTGTGTGATGTTACATAGCAACAAATGGCATGCACATTGATATATCCAATAACATAACAAAATTGTGCTCAGCGAAAGAATGATCCCATTTATATGGTATTCTGAAAAACAAACTATAGTGACAGAAAGTAGATCTATGGTTGCCTGATGCTGGAGTGCAGGTGGGAGATTGAGTGGGAAGGGACACAAGAGAACTTTCTGGAGTGATGCACATATTTATATCTTGACTGTGGTAGGTGTTATACTACTGTATAAATTTGTCTAAATTCACAAAACTGTACACTTAAAATGGATGCATTTTGTTGTGTGTAATTTATATCGCAATAAAGTTGAAGCTAAAATTAAAAAAAAGGAGGAACCCCTTCTAATGAATGGGCTTTAGAGACAAGTAAAATAGTAAGAGAGAGCCCTAACTTTCGAGAGAGTGCTTTGTGGGTGATGGAACAGTGAGCAGCTCATCCCTCAAATCTGCTAAAACGCTGTGCGAGAATTGAGGCCAAGTCGGAGGCTGGCAGCTGTGATGTATAATCTGCTTAGTCCGATGGTTCTTTTGAGACCTGACTCAATTCACTGGCTCCGCCCCTGAACGAGAGACTTAAGTTGGAGTCTAATTGTGTCCAGAAGAGCATTCCTCACAGGCCCTGCTCGTCCTGAGGAGTGTCTCTGCTTTGAGAACATGTCCGGCCTGAGGCCAGTGTGGAAGGTCAGGAGGAGATGTGCAGCTATTACTTCCACATCCCCAGCAAGCTGTTCTTTTTGTAAAGAAATCCGGTGTTATTAATACACAGCTGAGTTTGGGAAAATCCACACAAAATTTCCCCTCACTCCCAAACTTCTGTGTCCAACTCAGTGAGCCAAACAGAATAGTTCTGATTGGGGTGGTGTTGGTGGTTAGGGTGGCGGGGAGGGAGGGGGCTGGTATTTGTAACTGTGAGATAGATCATAATCTCAACTAAGTATGTTATGAAACTTAATTATAGTTATGGAACAGTGAAAATTCACATAATTACATCAAAATGAAAAGGGAAACAAAGTATGACTATGAGCAACAACTTTGGGGGAAATTACCACAACCAGATGGAAGTAAAATGTTTCCGAAGCAGACTAAAGCACCTTCCCAGGCGATTCCCACGAATGTATGTTGTATGGACACTAAGCTCCCTAGCCAAAGCCCATCTTAAATTACTGTTTTCCCTTCCAATGAACCATTTCCCCTGCTGTGGGAGACACTAGTATGTTGCTGGTTGAGGTAACGATTATGCACATTTCAAGAAGTCTTTCTTTGTTTTTAGAAATCTATCTTTTTTAGCTGCCTTAAGCACTTTTTAGGTAAATGGAAACAAAAGAAAAGGAAACAAAGAGTTGGTTCCTAAGGTCATTAACTCTTAAATGGTTTAAGACTGCTCCTAGGGTTCCAAAATAATTTCTTTGCTTGCCCTGTGGGCCTGCACTGAGTCAGGGTGACTGGGTCTGGTCCCTGCTCTCTCACTAACTAGGTGTGTGACCTCCAGCAAACCTAATCTTTGTTCCAGTTTCCTCCCCCATTAAATGAGGATGGCCTCACATTCCTAACCTATCTCAGCAACTAAAAAGCTTTCATTGCAATATCAGATGTGATAACACTGAAAAATTAGAAGTTTAATATGAATATAAAGTGGGGTCTATTTTGCATTTAAAAGAAAAAATTTAAAAATGTTAGAAGCATAGTATGTGTTATCAGTGTATGTATATGTTGGAGGACTGGATTTCAAAAACAACAAAAATCATGTCATCTTTTTCTTTTCCAATCTGTTAGCAATGAGCACAGGGGTTAAGCATCCTCCAAGAGCAACACTCATACTTGCCAGGTTGTCAGGAATGGTCCTCTGTGACTGTTCTAAACAGTTTTAAGTTTCATGCTGGGGTATTCAGGAATTACTTAATTGCTAAAACAATAGACTGGAAACTAAAGCCTAGAAATGGAGTAAAAATTAAAATTTCAAAGAGAAAAAAAAGAAGGAAGCAATTGGGTCACAGAGATGCCACGATGACTAACCCTACTATGTGGACTATATCTCATTCAATGAAGGCCGAAGCAGTGGGGGGGAAAAAAAAAAGAAAGAATAGTACAGAACATTTCTGTACTGTTTTTAGGGTAGGAAAAGAGTACCATAAATTTGAAGTCTAAGGACCGGTCTTGGCATTGCCTCAGATTTACTGCCTCCTGCCTGGTCCTTGATCTGCTGGGCTTCTCCATTTCCTGTCACATCACATCTGAGGGTAGAAATTTTCTCTTAGGAACCTTAGGAATATGTGAAGTGTTTTTCCCTTTTTGAGTGGTTTTATTTAGTTGAACACAGGTTATTTGAGTACATACTGCTAGACAGGAGAAATGAAGGTGAGTAATAGACGGCCCCTGGCTTCATCTTGCTGAAGATCTGAAGATCTGAAGGTTGGTTGGGCTAAAACGGGGCACAAAAAAGTGCCTGCTATTTTGAGGAGGAAGAAAGCACATCCAGTCATGTGGGTCAGGAAGGTTTTATGCAGAACTCAAGCCAGGAGTAGAGTGGGGAGAAAGATTTCCACAAGCAGGTGCCTGGGAGAGAAGGTGGCCCCCCCAGCACGAGAAAACCCAAGCCAGAGGGCAGAAGAGCCCCAGGCAGGCTTTAAGAAACAACCAATACAGTCTGTCAGGAACACAGACTGCATATGTGCGTGTGTGCGTGTGTGCATGTGTGTCCGCGTGCGTGTGCCGGAGCGGATGGTGGGAACTCCTCTGGAAAGACAGCTTGGGTGAGAGCACGAGAGCATGGGGTATCTTGAAAGCCCTGTTCAAGACTTTGGCCTATGCTGCAGTAGTTGGAAGAAATGGAGAGGGATCAGTTTTAGTCTGCTCTTACTCAGGGAACCTCACTTGCATGGGTTTGTGCCCCCCTGCCTCCTGCTTCCTGTCCTCTTCCCCCATAAAAGCGTCCTTAGTCCCAGGAAGAAGGCTTGGAGAGCTGCCCAGCTTGATGGCCCCCTATACACCCTATGGTGAAATCTGTGGTGGGTACGGTCAGCAGGGGGCTTCTAACCTTCATATGCGCTGGGCCCAGTGACAGCTCACTTCTGGGGGCTTGCATCAAGATCCAGACCCCGACATCAACACCAAGGAGAAGGATATGAACAAGGTGCTGCTTGGTTCCCTGCTCAGGGACCATTATGACCCAGGATTCAAGGCTGAGCAGGTATCAAAGCTGGGCAGAGCTGGCCAAGCAGCAGCAGGGCCAGCGGGGCTTAGCTCAAAACATGCTCAAAAGGCTGAGGTTCTCCCGGGGCTCAGTCACCGCATGCATTGCTAACAAGAAGTGAGGCCGAGAGGAGCTTTTCTAAACCACTGGTAATAAAAACTAAATGCCAATCAATCACGCTAGAGGAAAGATCGATTTTTCTATCCTCTATGTTCCCTACAGAAAATGATGTTTAAAAAATTAAAGCCATATGACAAAGTGAACAAAGAGTGTGTGGCAAAATGTAGGAAGAAAGCATCCTAGATGTGTGCTACACAGTTATAAACAATGATAGATTATTTCCCTAAGTTTTATAATATCTGTGGCATTTTTCAGCTTTTTACATTTAATAATTTGTTGTGATTTATAATTTGTTGTATTTATAATTTGTTGTTATTCTAAATAAAGCTATTTTCATACAAAATTCATAATTTTGTATGTTGAATTTTATATTCTTTTTCTTAATGATTCTCCAAATTGTAGAAGCTTAAGCCCTCACAAACTTGGATCAGTCCTCAGATAATTCCATAATATTAGCTCAATAAATATTTGATTAATTATAATTGCTAAGAACACTTAGGACTGAAGAACACAAAGGAAATAAAATGTATTTCAAACAAAGAGACAAAAATTAGCTTGGTTAGAAAATCACTATCCTCATGAGTGGAACATAGTGTTTTGCTGTAATAAATAATGTTGTTATGAACATTTGCATATATATAGTTGTACTTTTTTTCTTTAGGATTATTTCTGTGAAATGGAATAACAAGATTAAAGAGTTAATACATTTTTAAGACTGAATATATTTTACCAAATGTTTGTGCCAAAATGACCTCCCTCCAGCAATGTAAGAGAATGTTCCATCTCATGGCATCAGTGCCAGCACTGAATGTTTCTTGAAAGAAAAAAAACAAATCCTTGCTCATTTCCTGGTAAAACAGTATCTTATTGTAATTTTATTTACATTTCTGATTACTAGTTACAGTATATTTCCTCTTTTGTTTTTCTCTTTTACCAACAACTTGTTCATGTCCTTTGACCATTTTTTTTCCATTTTCATCCATATTAATGAAGTTATTTTGTTTTGTAAAATCTCCACTGAGAGCAACAATAAAACACACACTAGAGTTCATTTTATTGGCTTGATTTAAATATTTTACTTAAAGAAATATTTAAAGAAATAGTCTGAAGACTATAGTTTATTGATAGGAAAAATATAAAGCATACGTGTTCGAAGAAAGATATTTTGTACTGGCATTATAGGAAATAGATTTTTCCAAATAACATGATTTGTTTTGTAGTGCTACTAGTGCATACAGTCTGCAGAAACGTGGTTTTACCTTCATATCTGAGCACATTACTCTTACATCAAAAAAGAAAAAAGGATAATAAAATAACACAACTTTGATTAGTTTAAATTTGAGGAGACCACATCTGTGATTTGTTGAAGAGTAAGTTCTTTTATTTACCTCTTCAAAGAAGTGCTTATTTTTGTCACCTCTTTCTGTGCATCTTTATCCTGTAAAGAAAACACAAATATACAATGAAAATTCACACATTCATCCTGATACTCTAGGTGCTATGAAATAAACTTTGTTGTAAGATCTAGACAGGCAAATACACATGTCATTATCGACTTTATCAGGAAGTTTATAGTTAAGATTAAAAATCATGTAATATGCTTTATAGGATCCCACATGTACGACTATTTCTTTAAAACAAGTGTGGAAGTTAGGAAGAGTGGCAATAAGTTCAGATGGTAGCATACGCCTATGCATTTTTGCATTTAACATTTATCTATTCAAAAGGATTTAAATAATATAACAAATTTAAAATAAATAGGTGAAGAAAACTGGACAAAGTAGCTTCTAGCTAGATTAAAAAAAAAACTAAGTTTTTTGATAGTTTTAATCATAAACATTAATATACTGATTCGATTGTAGTGTCTGATCAACTAATAGTAAAACTATCCAGTCTTTTTTTGTGAGAAAATATGACGAATGAATCTAGAGTATCTATGCATTCTTTGAAACAAAATGAAGAACTCAGAGTTAATCAGCTAGTTCTGCAGTTGACATGCTACAAAGGCGAATACCTTTCAGGCTTCCGGTGTAGTCATTATTTCATTCAGCAATCATTCTCACACTGCCTTAGACAAAAGAATTTCTTTTATTTAAAAAAAGAAATGTTTCTCAGGACCTGAGATAACCTTCCTAGGGTCAAGAAAAGTCCAATGAATGATAAAATACCATAGCTTCAAGTTCTGGGAATGTAAAGCTGCTTACACGCATGACTCTGGGCTCTAGAGCCCGAAGGCCGATAGTCCCAGTGTCCCGTGCTGTGTGATGAGCTCCCTTATAGGGACAGAAGATGTTCTCACAAATGACTACAATGCCAGGAAGAGTTACAAGAAAGAAAAGAGCAAATAAGTTATACGAGTTCACGTGAGGGAGAGAAAACTCCTGGCTGGGGTGACTTCCTTGTAATTCGTGGCACTGCTAGACATTTTAGAAATAAATAAATTGGTCAGCAAAATCTGTAAAAACTTTATAGAGATAGAGGTTACTACAGATATAACTTACTTCATCCTATTTTCTAACTGAAAAAGAAATTGAGATATTCCTGACAGTACATTTACTATTAAAAAATAAAAAAATAAAAAAAATGCTAGGAATACAAATGGACCCAGCACCGGGAAAAAAAAGTAATGTGGGAAATATTTGCTAATGCTGTTTTGCTTAGTACATAACTATTTCCAGTGTCCAGCTTTCTTAGTTATATTTATTACCAGTCCTATTTATTATTACTAGTAGTAGTATTATTTTTATTTGTAAGTCTTTTAATTCTTTCGACCAGTATTTACTAAGTCCTTATTATATGCCAGGCGCTATGCTTGGCACTAGGAATAGAGTGGTGAATGAAACATACCCGGTTGCTACTTTCATGGAACAATCACACAACTATACAATCGCAACTGTGCAAAATGAAGGAAAAGTGCAAGGTACTTTCTTGTCTGCGGGTGTGGCGAGGAAGTCTTTCCTGAAGAAATGACATTTCTGGTGAGGTTTGAAGGATGAGCAGGAAGAAGGCTGGTGAAGGGAGTAGAACATTCGAATGGGAGTGTTTCAGGAAGAAGGAACACTACGTCCTGAGGGTGGAAGGCAGGGAGGAACAGAAGGAACAGAGGAGGGGAGGGGGGCGACAGATGAAGCTTGAGAGATTTGTAGGTGCTAGATCAGAGCCTTGAAGAGCATGCTAAAAATTTTGAACTTCGTCCTAAAAGCAAAAGATTTTAGAGCAGGGAAGCGACACGTCGAGGTTTATGTAAGTGACCCACTGTTGCTCTGGCTGCTACTGAAAACCAGGAATGACTGGGCAGGAAGCAAGGAGCTTTGAGGAGACCAAGGGGAGGCCCGGTGCGCTGCCCTGCTTGGAAAGGTGGCAGGAGAGAGAACGAGCAGCTGCATGGCTCAAGGCATGTTTCAGAAGAGGAATTCCAAGAATCTGGTGACTGGGTATATAGATGTCTGGGTTGGGAAGTTGAGGAGGAAGGTGTCAAGGATGATTCCGTTTTCCCAACTGAGTAGATGGGGATGCCATTTACTAAAAGGAGAAGATGGAGGAAGGGCAGATCCGAAGGCCTGATGACAAGTTAAGTTTGAGATGTCTGTGAGACATTCAAGTAGAGATGTCAAGTAGGACATAAGATAATCAGGTCTAAAGCTCAGAAGAGAGGTCTAGAGCTAAAAATTTGAGCACCCCTAGTAGGCAGATGGCATTTGAAGCCACAGAGATAGGTTTGGGAGGTAGCGGGGAAAGAGGCTCAGGTACCAGAGATCAAACCCTGAGGATCATCGGTATCTCACAGTCTTCCTGTGAGAGTTCTATATTTCATGCATAAACGTTTGCTTGTCCAACCAGGTTTATACCTCATTATCATACTGTACTCTAATAAGAATGCATAGGCACTCAGTTTTAAACTGCATGTAACCCAAACTGACATCATTCAGGAGATACAAAAAAGACAGTAGGGTCCCAATCACCAACACGGAGCAAGCAATCAGCAGGACAAAAATCTATTTTTTGCTGAAAAAGTTACGCAAATTGTCTTCTGGAGAAGGAGTGCTGCTACTGAGACTGTGCTGTTTGGCACTAATTACTAACCAACGGAACCAACTGAGAGATTCAAGTTAGAAGGACAACCAACCCTGTAGGATCTCGAACATATAAGTAGTCCAAGGCCTCGCACAGGTGGCTGCTGAAGAGGCCCAGTGGAGCCTGATCAGCTGTGTTTATCACCACAGGCACCCCTGAACCCTGAAGTTCCTGGGCAGGCCTTGTTTCACTTCCCCTTTTCAGCCTTATTCCCATGAGTGCCCTGAACACTCCTGAAACAAATCTTTGCTTTTGCACCTCTGTGCCTTTGTTCATGACCTGCGATGTGCTTCGCCCAAGCCTCCACGTTATCCACACCTTTCAAAGACCACCTCTAATGCTACATAGTCTCCTCTAGGGGAAAATGATTTCTCCCTTTTCAGTATTTCCATAACCAATTACTGGTACCTCTCTTAGCACGTCATGCCTTCTCCCCAAGCTTAATTATCTGGGTATGGGCCTCATGTTCTCTTCCAGGATATAAGCCCCAACAGGGCAATGGGCATGTCTTACATGTTTATATTCCAGAGTCTGACAAACGTCGGGGCCTGTATCGCTCCAAAAGAGATGAGGAGGAGTGCCTATTTCTGAGGCATTTTCTTTCCGTTGTAATTCAGACGAAGATAATGGTTGGTGGCATGAGAAGAGAGCAGGAAAACATTTATCTATTTCTTTTTGTTTCCATGATACTAGTAAATGGCTCACAGGAACACTGACTGAACTGTTAACTCTGTGAGATTCCTAAAACTTAGAGCACATCCAGAATCTCAAATTAGTAAGTAAAAGGGTAAGAATCAATGCGATCGTTTCTTTTCTATTAATGGTAGGTGTTCAAAGACCAAGAAAATGTCAATACACATTTTCAATCTTCTTTATGGCCTTGGTTAGCCACACTCCTGTGAGCTGGGGGCTGAAGATGGAACTCCATGGACACTCCTCGTGTTCTAAGGTGGGCAGACTGTCTAGCTTGTTTGCCGCCTATCACAGTTTAATCACCAGCTCCCCAGAATTATGCTGACCTCTGTCCTTCCTAGTGGGGCTTGTCCTGTTACCTGCTGTCTAACACCTAACAAACATCAGGATGTTTTACGTGCTAGTGCACAATTTGCATGTCCCTTAAAG